GCGGATGCCCTGTTTTGTCTCATCACTTCGCACCCAAAGGAGAATGATGATTGTGTGATCTTTGCCATCAAGTTCGAATCAAAAGCCCGGCGAATCCTGACCGATAATGTCAGAAGATTACCAATGCCAGCTGACACTATTCGCGCGAGACTTCCTGAGACAGAACACTGGAGATAGTGATGCTTTACGTGCCAACAGGTTGGCCAAAAGCTGGCATCCTTTCTGACTAGCAGCCTTACTTCAACCGACGTGGGTTACTGTCTGTTGTGGAAAATGCTTTGATGTTTGGAGACCGGGTAGTGGTGCCAAAGAAATTGAATAGGCAAGTCTTACAGCAATTTCATACCAGACACCCAGGTATCAACCGTATGAAAGCCTTAGCACGCAGTTTGTATTTTGGCCTGGAATAGATACAGAAAACGAACAATTCTGCCAAAAAGGGGAATCCTGTTAACTGACGGCGAAGCCCCTTGCCAAGTACTTCTGGCAACCTTGTACCAATGCAGAGAAGCCATTGCAGCGAATTCACCTAGATTATGCAGGACCCATCGCCGGTCCATCCTATCTTGTCTTGGTGCACTCTTCCTTCAAGTGGCCCGATGTGTTCTCGATGCAAAGTACGACTGCCCAGTACACACTCAACGAGCTGGATAAGCTCTTCTAGTATTTCGGTCTGCCAGAGATAATAGTGAGAGACTACGGTACACCATTCACTACAACTTCCTTTCGCGAGTGACGCAAGGAGAAAGGTATTCAGCAGATGTTCTCACCAACCTATCATCCGCAATCAAACGTACTGGTGGAACGGTTCGTGGATACATTCAAACGTTCTCTTTGTAAAGCGGGACAAAATAAGGTCGCGAAGGGCGCGATCCAGTCTTTTCTGTGCATGTAGCAGAATGCGCAAAACGCAAACTCCCCAGATGGAAGTGCCCCTGTCGAAATTTTATTTGGACGAAAGATCCGGACATTATCCGATAACCTTATGTCAAACAGAAAAGAAGAGCATTGCTGTTGTCAAGCGGAGGAAAACCTGACAGACAGGCTCCGTCATTTCAAAATTGGTGACATGATGTTCGCGCGAGACTTCCGAGGACGGACAAGGTGGTTGATAGGAGGAGTGATCCACAGTAAAGGCGAAGTCATTTACGAGATTATGGTAGGAAATGAGAAATGTATGAAGATTGTGTTTATGCGGTCTTGATGTCTGTATCTGTTCTGTGTTACTTTTTGATTGTCGCGCGCTCCGAAGAACATCAGCATAGATGCGTATCCCACAGGATCGGTGGTTTAGCGCACTTGAGGAGAGCAAAACAGTTTCTACGTCGGTGGAGGATTCTAGTGTTACTCAGATGATGAGTAATTCATAATAAGTTTATGGGCTTGAATTTGACACTCAGCAGCATGCACCATACACGCCAATCAGCTGAGGCCGAATCAAACTAAGACGCAAAGCTCCTCGGAACCACTAACCTTACCGTGGGATATTCTGCTAGACGCTTTTGGTTTGGAGTAGAAAGCTGAGCGGCTACTTGGATCACAACAGAACCTGTAAGCATCAGTTGACACACAATGCAGGCCGACCCGAAGGCCAAGATGACCCCAAAGCGAAAAGCCATGAAAAAAAGCGAGTTCGAACAGTAAGCAAGCAGACTCAATTCGAAAAAGGAGGTAATCGGAGGGCGCAGCATAAGGATGTGACACGGTTTCGAGACGCCCATCATCGGGACGCGGGTTGCTTCCCGACCGGCTGTACTAGGGCTGAGTCACGCCGGAAACTGATGTCTCTTGTCGAGACAAAGCCCCCGGAACCTCGGTTACATATGCAGAGATTGCTGCCAAGATCAGCCGGGAGGCCGCCGTTGCGGGCTCTTCTGTTCTAAACACCGTTAACGCGAATAGATGGACAAACAGTAAGCAATAAACACTTGTCAGCAGGTCAGGACAGACGAGTACCCTACCTTATACATCAAAGAAGAAGGGATCCAACAATAGTGCCCGGACTGTCGTATGCTCAAATGTCCCTTAATCTACCGCCATCCCACTGCGGGGTAAGTTATCGGACGATCAAGACTAATGGAACTCATGGTGCATGCTGCTGAGTGTCAAATTCAAGCCCATAAACTTATTATGAATTACTCATCATCTGAGTAACACTAGAATCCTCCACCGACGTAGAAACTGTTTTGCTCTCCTCAAGTGCGCTAAACCACCGATCCTGTGGGATACGCATCTATGCTGATGTTCTTCGGAGCGCGCGACAATCAAAAAGTAACACAGAACAGATACAGACATCAAGACCGCATAAACACAATCTTCATACATAGCGTACCAGAACATCCTTCCAACAATGTTCAATAGACCGGAAAACACGATATAGTACAGTACAGTACAGTTCATCCGTGAAACACCTTCTCTGGATAATATTTTGGCGCTATCGCTCACAGGATACATCACTTACCAAATTATATAGGGTGCGGCCCCTAGAATCTTAAAACTTGTGGTTCAGTCAGAGCACTAAGCAACAGATGTTTTGGATGGATGGTGGACAAATCGGAAACGTCTTCCTTCTGAACTTCGGTTAAAGGTCACAGAAGCTTTGCAAAGTTCAACTATCAAGGCACCTGAAGCAGCAGAGGTACTGACAATGACACAGGAGCTTAACTTGACTCTGCCGTAGATCTACACGAAGACTGTGACGCACCTTGGCCAAATCAGCTTCCAAACGAGGCATCATTATCCCATCCATAGCGAGTAACTGTCCACCACCCACCGGTCGGCATTCTCCCACACTTGACCCCTTCAACCCTCTACGCGGTCCTAGAGACCGATAAACTGGTCTGCCGGTATACGAATGCTCAGGGTCTTTTTAATAACCTGGCCGAACTGCAAGATCAAGCTTCCAGGTCATATGATGTCATTGGTATCACCGAGACGTGGTTGCACAAGGGAATGACGGACGCTGAAGTTTCCCTACTGGGCATGTTGCTGATCCGGAACGATAGGGTCACAAAAAAGGAGGGGTAATTCTATATTACTGAAGCGACTTACACTGCGAAGCCGTGGAGGATTCAAACTCCGGCTGCCGTAGTCAACGGAAACAGTGTTATAATCCTGTTCCTTATATGTAAAAAGCCTTTGATAAAGTGCCTCCGAGGGTTACTGAACAAACTGAAGGCTATAGACTTTGGAGAACCGATGTTTTCTTGGCTGTCTTCATATCTAATTGATAGACAACAGGTGGTGCACATCGGTGACCATTTCTCTAAACCGAAGGCAATCACCAGTGGAGTGATGCAAGGGTGTGTTCTTATTCCGCTTCTTTTTATAATATATATTAACGATATATTCCAGAGAATAAGAAATGGTGTTACATTTATCTTTGCTTATGACATTAAAGTTGTCTACTCACAACCACGTGTAAATACTCAGGAAACCGTACGTCTCATTCAAGATGACCTATCTACCCTTGATTCCTGGTGCCAGCTGTGGCAGATGTCGTTTGCCGTGGACAAGTGTACTATTTTTCATACAAATGCCAAGTACTGCCAGACAGTTTATTACTACAAGGCGCATAGACCTCAGAATGCAGAGCAGTTCGTGACTTGTGCGTGCGATATTCAGTCACGTTTAACTTTTCCGAACATTGTGACTTTCAAGTTTCGAAAGCCATGAAGACCACTGGTCATATTTGTTATCATTTTTACCTCACGGAATCTCGCATATCGCTTTACAAAATATGCATTGCCGTGTATGGAATACTGTTCATTGGTCCAGTCTACTCTGCGGGACTCTGACCAGCATGCTCTTGAGAGAGTCCAGCGACGCTTCACGAAAAAGCTATGTAAATATTCCTCAAAGTTGACATACAGAGAGCGATGTGATCAACTTAGATTTGAGCCAGTTTGGCTTCGGATAATGATGCTAAACCTATGTTTTCTTTACCATCATAAACCGTCAAATTTGCAGTCTTGATAACGGTGTTCAGATATGTTTAAACAGCAGATATCCAATCTGTAACAAAGTGGTAAAGGTCATGATTCCAAAATTTATTACGAGAATCAGAGAACGTTTCTTTCTAACCCATAACTCAAAGATTTGGAACAAACTTCCAAGTAATATCAGAAAATGCAATTTTAAGCCTGAGAATAGTAAGCAGTTAACTGTCCAAAATGTGATTAATATGTTCGGGACATCACAGTCCCTAGATAACGCATTCGAAAACAGTATCGATGATGCCTGAATAAATTTTCGAAACACACACACATAACATGTCGAACTCCAGCCTTTTTCATTTCATTTCATTTTTTCCCGGCCCCAACATCTGTCATGTGATTGTGAAGAATCCTGATTCAATAGCAGGAAAAAATAGCAGAATGACTCGGGCTAATGGTGTTACCTAATTTGCAATTGCGCCCATGTTTTTTCTGAAAAAGTATTAATGCAATATCCTGTTCTGTTCCTTCTAGGGAACAGCTTCTCGCATCGTCGAGGAATACACAAGTTATTTATTTATTTACGCACCTTCACTTAGTGCCCGTTACTCTGATACTGAAATATATTGATCATCTATGTGTCTTAAGAAATATGCATTTGGTCAGCTGATAGGAACCGTGCTGGAATACTGCCAAAGTTCACAGCCTTTGTCTGGAACCATTCACCGACCCAAGGCTGGACTCATGGTAGCAAAAAGATGACGGGCAGTAAAGCAGTGTGTGTTGTATTTTTATCACAACAACAGTCAATTTAGCCAAATCGTTTATGCAAACTAGATCATTGAATACAGCTTTAACACCCTAGCCATAGCGATAACGAACTCTTCAGTACACCTTGTTGTGACTCATAAACAACTGAAAATGATCAGCTTGTTACCATGTAGTTTTGGACTCGCGAGATATACAACGGTTACGTGCACGCTAGGCTTACACTGAGACGTCAACTTTGACTGCATGCTTCCATTTCACTTTAAATTGCTTTCATCCGTCTCAATGCGAATCAAGTCACAGGCCACAGGGAATCAAAACTGTCGAGTGAGTTTCGGGAACCTGTGCACTGGAAAACTCGGAACGGATCAATACAATTGTACCTGCAAGTACGGTTACGAGCCACTGTTGACTATGTCAGAAGATAATTGTCTGGCGCGCCGAGACCCATGTCAAACATATTTTGGCATTGAATCATTGAATAAACACTCCATAGATTTGGACAGAGTATTCGACTTGGAGAATGAAACCGAGATGACTTATGAGCTACTAGCAACGAAGCAACGGTCCGCACTCATCACACACAGGGGACTTATGTGCCTCAACGGAGGTCTGTGTGTTACGTCCGCCGATTTTACCCGGGCTACTTGCGTCTGTCCAACATCGGCAGACGGATCACCACTCTATCTGGGTAAGTTAACTCATCCCCAAAGTGTACCTTCATGTTTTCTTACCAGAAAGCTTCAAAATGAAATATCCACTAGTAGTGAGCATTTCAATATTTCCTGTTACTCCCTTGGTGCAAATGATAAAGCCGAATGAGATGAAAAAGGTAAATTTATTTCTTCCATGGATGTTTACGGACTTCTCCCAAGTGATTATTGAGCTGTTTTGGGATGCCGTAGGTAGTCTGTATGCAATTGTTAAGAATGTTTTACAGCGAACAGGTAAGATTTTCCTATTTTGTTGCGCAATCGCATTGTGGACACATGATGATTGACGCTGCGAGTTCGACTATGCTTACGCTTAACAAATAAATTATTTTTTATACTGCGGGGCTTAGTGTTCCGGTGATAACAGTGTTGGATATTAACCGCTGCGTGCCGGTTTCGATTTCAAACTTAGAATGTATTTAAGGAAAAAGCACCTGCAGGGACGAAACCTGTTGACGCGAGCAATATTATGGCAAATTGGATTTATCACAGATATTAAAGCCAACGCTTAGCAATTTTCCGTAGATAAAGCATGAGGTCGAAATGGATGTATCAAAACAAAGAAAAAACGAGTATCGGTGGACTTATTGCAAATTCCGTGTGCACATTGTTTGGTTACGTGGTCCCGGTACTTTGGGCTAAATCACGTAATGTAGGTGGTGTAATGCTGCATCAAGCCCAGTTTTGCATTCGGACAACGTAAGGGCGGAAATGACAAAATGCGGAAGTAAGTTCCACGGATAGGATACACAAAATGAGAAAAAGTTCCGGCGACACTCCAACAAGCTATACTGCCTCTCTAACTTCAAACGGTAGCCTCTCAGTGTGGTATTCTGACTGAGTTTCAATGAGGGTTGGCACGAGTGGTTGGGATCCCAGAGGATCTGATGCACAAATATGAGATCGCCTAGCAGAGACGATATTGTTTACTAAAAACTTTCAGAATTTTCAAACATGAATTTCCCTTAATTCCAAATAAGAATATCAAACTACGAAGATTGTGGGATGACATTGTCATTTCGTGCATACTCCTCAACCACCATACAAGCAACTAAAAGCAATGCAAAAAGCAGTCGCATGAAATCAACCATAGATCACGTGTTTTCCGATTGGTGCGTGACACGGTAGCATGGTAGGCTTAATGTCACTGTCAGCTGTTTTTGGACGCGCAGCGGTGGGCGCTGTCGATGGATCACAATGGCCTCGAGTAGCCTGAGAATGTGAGGCCTTTGATTGCGCATGAGAACTGTGAATGGCTTATCTGAGTTCACTTGGTGACCGGTGATCATTAAATGATATCGCTGGTATTACACTTGCAACCAAAGCGCTCAATGGTGTGCATCTCAATCTTACTGTGACATGTGAAACTGAGCACGACAGTTGTCGCCCATACTTACACATATTGCTCACACGACGACCAGATGGCTCGATAAAAGATCAGTCTACCGGAAATCGACTTGGACAGGTCAATACTTACATTTAAGAGTTCCTCGCCAATCCATCACAAGCGTTCTTTAGTTAGAACGTTGTTCCATCGGGCTCATATGACCTGCACCACAGATCGATTGGAATCAGAGAAAGAACTGCTGTTTGACGTATTGCAATCTAATGGTTGCCGACTGCAATTCATAAAGCGCTACAGTGCGTTGATGAAACAAGACGGGGTGATAACGGTTCAAAAGTAACCGATGTTCATTGAGTTGCCTTTCAACGGTGACCACCTTATGCAACTCACTGTTAAAGGTATAAGCGCCTTAATGCAAAAGACACTACGCAGCAGAGCTACGCTTGTTGGTGACCACAAGACCAATACTTAAGTGTTCAGTGAAGACGCATGTGTCGAAGCAGTGCACGTCCCATTGCTTATACAAATTTACGTGTAGCCATGATGACAGCTATGTTGGGCGCACTACTCGAAACCTGGGTCCTGGGATCAATGAACACATTCCAAAGTCGCTACGCAAACAGATGGAAAATGCGACGATTGCAAGTGGTGAATGGAGAAGCAAAATTGCCCCCTCAATTACGATACATTTAATGATCACCGGTCACCAAGGGAACCCAGATGAGCCATTCACAGTTCTCATGCGCAGTCAAAGGCCTCACATTCTCAGGCTACTCGAGGCCATTGTGATCCATCGACAGCGCCCACCGCTGCGTGTCCAAAAACAGCTGACAGTGACATTAAGCCTACCATGCTACCGTGCCACGCACCAATCGGAAAACACGTGATCTATGGTTGATTTCATGCGACTGCTTTTTGCATTGCTTTTAGTTGCTTGTATGGTGGTTGAGGAGTATGCACGAAATGACAATATCATCCCACAATCTCCATCTTCTAATCTTCCTATTTGGAACTTCTAGAGTCTTTAGTCCCCACTAATAAGGGAGGTGGAGCAATCCATTTACCACTTTGTCGCTCTCCATTGTCGTTTCTCAAGAGCAATGAGGTTACTATGTGCCAGATGTCACGCTTAGATGGCGTATTCCACTTGTACTCGCACGTAAGCATTGAACATTTGCGAAAAGAAGATAGGATCAAACCTACCAAATGCCGTTCGCAGTAGGCCTGAGTGCTGACGGACTTTTTCAGAGCCATCTCAGCCTGCTTTGAACATCCAAGATCGTCCTGAACGAGCACTCCAAGGTCACATTCATGAGAAGCGAACTGCAGGACGTGTTCTCCCAGTCGATAATGGTATGTGCTCTGGTGGTGTATGCTCATTATTTTTCACTTGGAAGGGCTAAATGCAAACATGTTCTGGATAGACCACTCTTAAGTACTGCCAAGATCACGTTGCAGAGCTATTTTGTCGGCTACTGGTTTGATCGCCCTCCAAATCTTGAGATCGTCCACAAAGAGTAGTAGCTTCGACGTCAATACTCCCGCGAGGGCATTTATAAACACGAGGAATAACCGTGGTCCTAGTACCGAGCCTTGAGGGATGCCACAGTGAACCTCTATCGAGTCGGGCTGGGTGCTACGAACTGGCAAATTCAAGCGACGTTGGAGTGGGATTGAATGAATCCACCGATTTGTAGGATCACCGATCCCGAATCTCCGAAACTTGTAAAGAAAAATCCGGTGATCAAGTCGATCAAATGTTTAGGAGAAATCAAGGTAAGCGGTGTCGACTTCTTCCCCAGCATCGACTGATTTAGTCCAGTTAGCACGGGCTAACAAAAGCATGGCGGTACTTGAGCGGTTTTGATGGAATCCATGCTGATCTTGTACGAGGATATGTTACCTTTCTAAATATTTCCCTAAGTAAATCTACAACGACAGATTCCATGAATTTAACAAGTACGGGAAGAACACTAATCGGGCGGTAGTTTGCGGGAACTGCACGATTGACTCCCTTGTAAACGGGAGTGACTATTCCACGCTTCCACACTGTTGGGACCTGAATCTCTCCGAGAAAACGTTAGAAAAACTGAGATAATGGTTCAGCCAAGCTTGTGGCAACTAACATCAGTGGGTTGGGACGTATACTATCTGGATCTGGTGAACTATACTCACGAAGTGACAGTAGTCGTTTCAACGCATCTGCGGCTGTGAAGGAGATGTGACAAATACCTGGCGGTGAGGTGAGCTGTGTGAGACTGAGGTGAGATGATGATGCTTACTGGAAAGCACAAGCAAACTGATGTCTAAGAGCATTATCTGCTTCTTGGACAGTTCGCGATTGACCACTGATGGGGCTTAGAGAAAGGATGCCTCGCTGTACTTTGCGCTTTGTTAACATGCCTGTAAAGTAGCTTAGGATTGCAGCGGAACTTTTCCACTAAATCCTGTTGGTGTTTCAACTTATCCTCGTGGGCCGGTTCAACACAGTGGTTTCGCTCAGTTATGTAGGCAATCCATTTTCGGGCTTTTGGATCGGATTTGTATACTTTCCAAAGTAAATCTCTCATGGCGATTCGTTTCTGCTTCTCGCTCCTCAAGAATGACTGCTTTTTGTAATAACGGTCTTAGTTTCTGTCGCGTTCGTTACTAAGATGTTGAATAGACTGACGAACATTTCCCAAGCGACATCAAAGAGTTGTCCCACTAGAAATGCCCAATCAGTGATCTTACTAAGGTGGGGTAAAATGCTGTGATGTGTTATTATGCGGACCACTTCGATTTCCCTATTGTGGAAAAGTAGCGGTGCATGATCACTGCACCCCAGGGGGCTACTCACTGTCACTGTGTCAACCATAATTTGCTCGTTGATGAAGCCAAAGTCTAAAATGACCGGTCTATCCCCTGTTCTGAATCTCCTAGGGGAAGTCAAGGGGTTACGGCGTGGTAGACCTACGGCTAATCCTTGTAGTTCGCCCTTAAACTGTTCGCCAGATGAGGCTGAAACATTTAGTGCTTGCAAGTTGAAGCCCCCTACAAGGAGAAGGTGAGAGTTAGACTGAAACAGAACAGCTTTTAGTGCAGAAGATAAACGGTTTTCCATTTCCAGCTTGGACATGGGAGGATGGCATACCAGGGCAACTAAATAAGTATCACCAATTTTTAGTTGCAGGCTGCACTGTAATGAGTCCACAACTTGAATCCGAGGATCATTAACGGCCTGGAAATGTAGATAACTGCGGTAGTCCAAAATTACGCCACTTCCCCTACTAGGGGACGGACCTATTGAGTAGAGCGATCTCCGCCTCCGTGATTTCATTGTTCAGCCAAATCTCAGTTATCATTATCAGGTCCATAGACATCAAGGTTTGGCGAGAATGAAGATCGGATAATTTGTTGACAAAGCCCTAAGCATTGCTATGCATAAATTTAATGCTTCGAAAGTTAGAATTGTGTCTGAGGGTAAGAATGACAAGTCCGCGTTGATCTGAGGTCGGTAAGTCTAGTTTTGCATTCGGACAACGTACGGGCGGATATGACAAAATGCGGAAGTAAGTTCCACGGATGGGATACACGAAAGGAGCAGAACTTCCGGCGGCACTCCAACCGGCTATACTGTGTCGTCAACTTCAA